TCAGGCTTTTCTCCACCTATCAGCATGTAAATAGGTCTGGAGAGAATATAACCCTAACACAAAACCTTTTAAATTTTAAACCATGCCATATTTCCCTGCTCTGCACAACAGCCTCCTGGTCTAGGTATAGGTGTCACAAGAGCACAATTATGTGCTCTGGGACTCCCATTCTTCTCAATGTCAGCCACAACTTATAATCCACACAATCAAATGTATTTGCATAGTCAACAAAGCACAAATAGGCACTCTTCTGGTATTCTTTACTTTCAGCCAGGATCCATCTGAAATTAGCAATGATACCCTTGGTGCCACAGCCTCTTCTAAATCTTGCTTGAACTTATGACAGTTCTCTATCTATGTACTGTTGTAGCCATTTTTAAAATGATCTTCAGTGGTATTTTGCTTGCAAAATACTGATATTATTGATATTGTTCAATAGTTTCAACATTCAGTTGGATCACATTTCTTGGGAATGGAAACAAATATGGACCTCTTCCAATCCATTGGCCAGGCAGGTGTCCTCCAAATTTCCTGGCATAGACTGCTGAGTGCATCTAAGGGTGCATCTGTTAATTGAAACAAGCCAGCCAGGTATCCAATCAATCCTGAGGTCTTATTTTTTTGCCTATGTCTTCAATGCTGCCTTCACTTCCGCCTTCATTATCATAGGCTCCTGCTCAAATGGCACTTCCTGAAAATTAAATTTTTAGTGTCAGTCATTTTTTTTTCTTTTTTGTACAGTGATTCTGTGTATTCTCTCCATATTGTTTTGCAGCTATTTGGGTCATTCACTATGTTGCCCATAGGACCTTTCAATATTGCAACTCAGTTCTCTCAGCTTGAGAAATGCAGAGCAAGTTCTTCCATTTTTATTCTCTAATTCCAGCTCTCTCCACATTCCATCATACTAATTGTCTTCTCAAGCTCCCCTTTGAAATCTTTTATTTAGCTCTTTTACCTTGGCATGTTTTCCCTTTGTTTTGGATTCTTTGACACTCTAGTGCAATTTTTCAGAGTCTCTTTTGACATCCATTTCAGTTTTTTCTTTTTCCTCTGTCTTCATAAGAATACCTTGCTTTCTTCATTTATAATATCCTTGATATCATCCCACAACTCATCCTGTCTTCAATCATTGGTGTTTAGTGCCTCACAACTATAGCTAAAGTGATCACAAAATCCAGTTGAAATAGATTCAAGATCATATCTTGGTTCTTGTGAACTTATTTTCATTTTCTTCAACCTCAGTTTAGACTTGCATATGAGTAATTAGTGGTCTGACCCACAGTCTGCCCCTGGCCTACTCTTGACTGGTGATATTGTGCTTCTCCAATGATATCTTGCACAGATGTAGTCAGTCTGATTCGTATGCAGCCTATCAGGTGAGATCCATATGTTGTCATTTGTGTCTTTTAAAATATGTATTTGCAATAAATCAGTAATTTTAAATGAATAAATTTGATGATTCTATTTCCAGCCTCATTTCTGTCACCAAGCCATATTTTCCAACTATTATTCATCCTTCACTGTTTCCAAATTTTGCATTCCATCTTGATTGAATGTTTGGCCAATTTCAGACAAAAACTTCGGTAAAAATTCTCAATTTGTTCCTCTTTGGCTCTAGATGTAGTAATTTTAACTGTCTTTCTCATATGTGCATGGATAATATCCTGTCACTCATAACATTGTATTTCAGGATAGAACTTGAAATTGACTTTTTGACTCTGTGAATGCAACAATATCTTCTGGTTTTCATTCCCAGCATAGTATACTATGTGATTATCTGATTCAAAGTGGCCAAAGCTGGTCCATCTCATCTAGTATCTCGAGATATGTTTTCCATTTCATTTTGAAGAATTTCCAGTTAATTTAATATGAAGATATGAAGATGAATGTGGCTTCAGGATCAGAGGGAGACTCATCAATCTCCTGTGTTATAAAGATAAGACAACCTTGCTTGCTAAAAGTGAGGAGGACTTGAGCACTTGTTGCAGAAGATCAAGGCATGCAGCCTTTACTATGGATTGCATCTCAATGTCAAGAAGACAAAGATTCTTACCACTGGACCCACAGGCAACATCATCATGGATAGAGAAAACACTGAAACAGTAAACAGCTTCATCTTGGGTCTACAATTAACACTCTTAGTAATCAGCAGTCCAGAAATCAGGACATGTTTTGCACTGGGAAAGTCTGCAGTCAGGGACCTCTTCAAATTATTGAGGAATAATGATGTCAGGTTGAGGACTAAAGTTCATCTGATTTAGGCCATGATCTTTATAATCAATTGCTGTGCATCTGAGAGCTGGACAATAAATAAGATGACAGAAGAAAAATTGATGTCTTTCAGCTGTGATGTTGAAGAAGAGCACTGAACATCTCATGGACTTGTCAAAAGAACAAACAAATATGTCTTGGAGAGGATGCAGCCAGAGTGGTCTTTGGAAGCAAGGATGATGAGGCTTCACCTCACCTACTTCAGGCATGTTGCTAGGAGCAGCAATTCCTTGTATAGGGACATGATGTTTGGAAGAGTAGAGGGTCGGTGAAGGAGGGGAAGACCCTCGACCAGGTAGATTGACTTGGTGACTGCTGCAATGGGCTTCAGCGTGTCAGGAAGTGTGAAGATGGCACAGGATAGCACAGGGTTCAGAGTTGCCGTTCATAGGGTCACTGTGAGACATACTCAAGTGGGTGGCACCTAACAACAACCTTGTAATGTGGCTTAAAGATCCAGAGGTGAGGATTTTTTGTTTTCTTGAGGTTGAGATGCAATCCATATTGAAGGTATAGTCTTTGATCCTCTGCAGTAAGTGCTTCAAGTCCTTGCTTTCAGCATGCAAAGTTGTATCATCTGTATTGTGCAGGTTGTTGATATGCCTTCCTCTGATCCTAATATCACATTCTTCTTCATAGAGTCCTGCTCCTGAACAGATTTGCTCAACATACAGATTGAATAAAAATGGAGAATGAATATAACTCTGGCGTACATTGTTCCTATGCCTTTGAGCCCTGATGTTGGAGAAGGGCACTGAACAGCCTATGGAATGCCAAAAACAAAACAAAACAAAACCCCAACTCCAAAACAAACAAATATGCCTTTGAGCTGTGGTGATGGAGAACATGGAACATCCCAAGGACTGTCAAAATAACAAAAAGATATTGCCTTGGAGAGGATGCAGCTGGAGTGCCCTTTGGAGGAAAGGATAATAAGGCCTTACCCCACATACTTTGGGCATGTTGTGAGGAGGTGCTATTCCTTGGAGAGGAATTGATGCTCAGAAAGGCAGAGGGTTGGTGAAGGAGAGAAAGACCCTCAACCAGGTAGATTGTGACTGTCACAATGGATTCTATTATACCAGGAAATGTGAGGATGGCACAGGATAGGACAGGGTTCACATCTGTTGTTCATGGGGTTGCTGTGGATCATACTCAACTCGAGGGGATCTAACAACAACACACCTTTCCTGATTTTAAACCATGCTAGCGATATTGTTGTTGTTAGGTGTTGTCAAGTCAAGTACAATGCATAGCGACTCTATGAACAAACAGATCTGAACCCTGTTCTATCCTGTGCCATCCTCACACTTCATGACACATTAGACCATTGTAGCAGTCACTGTGTCAGTGCACCTGGTTGAAGGTCTTCCTCTCCTTTGCCAACCCTCCACCCTTCCAAGCATCATGTCCGTATCCTCCTGGCAACACACCTGAAGTCTCATCATCCTTATCTCTGAAGAGCACTCTGGCTGCATCCTCTCCAAGGAAATACCTGTTTGTTCTTTGGACAGTCACCACAGTTCAAAGGCATCAATTTTTCTTCTGTTATCCCTATTCATTGTCCAGCTTCACATGTATAGCAAGTGATCAGAAAGACCATGGCCTGAATCAGATGCACTTTAGTCCTCAACCTCACATATTACTCCTCAATAACTTGGAGAGATCCCTTACTGCAGACTCCCAGTGCAATACATGTCCTGATTTCCTGACTGCTGATACCAAGGGTGTTAATTGTGGATCCAAGTAAGATGAAGTTGTTGACAGTTTCAGTCTTTTCTCCATCTTGATGTTGCCTGTAGGTCTAGTCATCAGAATCTTTGTTTTCTTGACACTGAGATGTAATCCAGAGTGAAGGCTGCATTCCTTGATCTTTTGCAACAAGTGTTCAAGTCCTCACTTTCAGCAAGCAAGGTTGTGTCATCTGCATAACACAGGTTATTGATGAGTCTCCCTGTGGTCCAGATGCCACATTCCTCCTTATAGAGTCCAGCATCTCTAATCATTACTCAGCATACAGACTGAATAGGTGTTAGAGAGAATACAACCCTGCCACACTCCCTTCTTAATTTTAAACTATATAAGTGTTCCCTTGCTCTGTTTGCACAACAGACTCTTGTTCTAGCTATAGGTTTTGCATGAGCATAATTAATTGCTCTGGGATTCATATTTTTCTCAATGTCAGCCACATCTTGTTATGATCCACACAGTCAAATGCCTTTACATAGTCAATAAAGCACAAATAGACATTCTTCTGATATTCCTTACTTTCAGACAGGATTCTTCTGACATCACCAGTGATATTTTTTTTTTTTCAACAGCCTCTTCAGAGAAGAATCTTGAACATACCTTGGACCACCAAGAAAACAAGGAAGTCTGTCTTGGAGAGGGTGAAACCAAGTTTTCCCTTGGATGCTATGGTGTTGAAGCTCTGTCTCACATAATTTGGGCACATGGACAGGAAGGATCAGTCCTTGGAGAGTGACATCATGTTTGGAAGGATGGAGGGACAGCACAGGAGAGGAAGACCTCAGATGGGTTGATAAAGTGACTGGGATAATAAGGGTAGGTGTGCTGGAGTCAGTGAGACTGGCTCAGAACAGGGCAGGATTCAGATCTATTGTACATAGGGTTGCTATGAGTTGCAGGCCATTCAATAGCACATAACAACAACATGGCTTATTCTAAATCCTGCTCTATATACTGCTGTAGTAATTTTTTTTTACCAACTTTTGTAAACAGTTTTTTATTGGGAAACATTTGGATATGCCCTTCACACCCCCAGGGAATGTCCATGCTAATCTTCTGGGGTGCCTTTTTGATTTTTTTCTTTTTCTTAGTGCTCTTGTTGACGGCCTCCTCAGGTCCACTGCTGATGGGCTCCTCCTTAGAAAGCTTCTTCTTTTTCTTTGGAACACTGTTTGCAACCTCTTCAGGGTCTTCTGGTTCCTCTCTGGAGGAAGATTTCTTCCTCTTTGGGACTTTTGCATTTACAGTTGGCTCAACAGACTCTTCAAAGTCACTGTTGACCAGTTCCTTGGACAGAGATTTCTTTTTCTTGGGTTTAGGGAGAGCAGAGCTGGACTGATCTTCCATTCCGTTCTCCTGTGGAGCCTCCTGGGGCTTTTTCTTTTTCTTCTTTTTGGGTTTTTCTTCAGTTTCTTCACATTCCTGATCTTCAAGAGTGCCATTGTTTTCTGAAGCCTCAAGTGCAAGCGCAGCCAGTTGTTTCTTCTCCTTCTTCAAGCGCTTCTTCTCCTTTTTCTCCAGCTTCTTGGTAATCTCAACAGCCACTTCTTCTGCCTGAACCATGGCTTCTTTCATGACGTCTAAGTTTTTCCGTGGAATCTCTCCAGTCTCATAGAAGGAGAGTCGCTCCTCAACTTGCTCACGAAACTTTTCCTCGAATACACTCGTAGGCACCTCGGAGAAGCAGTCAATTCGTGAGGCAATGCTGCATTTGTTTGCCAGGTATCGGGAGATGCGGCCTTTGTTCTTAGCAGCTGCTCGGCCAATGAAGGTGGAGTGGAAAATGAATGAGTCCATATTTGGGAGTGTTTCCTCTTGTCTTCAAAGCTCAGCTCTGAGAGACGGGGAAAGGCATTCGATGTCGTTGACCTGGAAGCTCGGTCCCTTTTTTGCTGGGCCCTGGGAATCACTCAGACACCAGGACGGGCCATGCTGTAGTCATTTTTGAAAGACTTTCAGCAGTAGTTTGTTTGCATGTGATATTAATGATGTTGTTGGACAGTTTCCACATTGTGTTGGATCACTTTTCTTGGGAATAAGAACAAATATGGATGTCTTCCAATCCATTGGCCAAGTAGCTGTCCTCCAAATATAATGGCATAGACTGATGGCCACATCCAGGTCTGCATCTTTAATTAAAACAAGTCATTGGGTATCTCATCGACCTCTGGGACCTTATTTTTTTGCCAATGCCTTCAATTGAGGCTTCTGCTCAAATGGTACTTCCTGAATTTTTTCAGTGTCAGTCCTTTTTGGTACAGTATTCCTTCCATCTTCTTTTGCTGCTTTATGGGTCATCAATATATTGCCCATAGCATCTTTCAAGATTGTGACTCAAAGTTTAAATTTGTTTTTCAGTTCTCTCAGCTTGAGAAATGCAGAGCAGGTTCTTCCATTTTTATTTTCCAATTCCAGCTCTCTGCATATTCTCTTATAATACTTTGCTTTCTCTTCTCAGCCTGCCCTCTGAAATCTTCTGGTCAGCTTTTTTTGCTTTGGCATGCTTTCCCTTTGTTTTGGCTTCTCGACACTCCAGTGCAATTTTTAGAGTCTCTTCTGATGCCTATTTCAGTTTTTTCTTTCTATTCTGTCTTTGTAATGACCCTTTGTTCTCTTTGTGGATAATATCCTTGATATCATTCCAGAATTCATCGGGTCTTTGATCATTGGTGTTCAATGCCTCAAAGCTCTTCCTAAGATTATCTTGAAATTTAGATGGAATTGATTCAGGATCCTATCTTGGTTCTCATAGACTAATTTTCATTTTCTTTAGATTCAATTTGAACTTTCACATGAGTAATTGATGGTCTCACCTAAAGTCCATCTGTGGCCTACTTCTGACTGCTGATACTGAGCTTCTCCAATGACTTCTCCCACAGATGCCATCAATCTGATTCCTATGCAGCCAATCAGGTGAGAATCCATATGTGAAATTGCTATTTTTGTCTTTTAAAAAAGGTATTTGCAATTAATAAGTCATTGAGAATACAAAATTTTATCATTCTATTTCCAGACTCATTTCTATCACCAAGCCCTTATTTTCCAAATACTATTCCTTCTTCAGTTAAGGCATTAGTATTTGCAGGACAGCAGTCTGGCCAATGGATTGGAAGAGGTCCATATTTGTTCCCATTCCCAAGAAAGGGGATCCAACAGAATGTGAAAACTTTAGAATAATATCAATATCACATGCAAGCAAAGTACAACTGAAGATCTTTCAAAAATGGTTAAAGCAAGACATAGCTAGGGAACTGTCAGGTCAGAAGTTGAAGCAGGATTTAGAAGAGGTTATTACACCAGGGATGTCGTTGCTGATGTCAGATGGATCCTGGCTGAAAAGAAATACCAGAATATGTATTTGTGTTTTATTTTGTGAAGGAAATAGAAAGGGTCTTGTGTGAAAAACAATGTCTTTGAACTTTATAAAGAATCAGTGTGTATATTAAAAAGAATATTTATCTGTGCTTTATTGACATGCTAAGGCATTTGACTATGTGGATTATGACAAATTATGGTTAACATTGAAAAGAATTGAAATCCCAGAGCATTTAATTGTGCTCATGTGAAACCTATACCTAGTCTAGGAGGCAGTTGTGCAAAACAGAATGAGGGAGCCCTACATAGTTTGAAATTAGGAAGGGACTGTTTCAGGGTTGTATTTTTTTCTCTCCATACCTATTCAACCTGTATGTTGAGCAGATAATTCAAGAAGCCATACTCTATGAAGGGGAATGTGGTATCGGGATCAGAGGGAGACTCATCACTAACCTGCATTATGCAGATGACACAAGTTTTCTTGCTGAAAGTGATAAGGATTTGATGCACTTGTTGAAGAGGATCAAAGAAAACAGTCTTCTATATGGATTGCATTTCAGTATCAAGAAGACAAAGATTCTTACCACTGGGGAGATTAGCAACATCATGAGATTGTTATGTACCGTCGAGATGGAACTGGTACATAGCTGATCCTCCAGTGGGTTTCCAGAGGCAGTTAATCACACAAGAGGAGATTGTCCATCCTTTTTCTGCAGAGCAGCTGGTGGATTCAAACTATGTGCCTTCAGGATTGCAGCGCAGCTTCTTACCACTAGGCCATCAGAGCTCCCTAATATCATTATAGATGGAGAAAACTCTTAACAACTTCATTTTACTTGGATCCACAATTAACACCCTTTGTACCAGCAGTCGGGAAATCAAGACGTGTATTGCACTGGGAAAGTCTGCAGTTAGGGACTTCCCCAAATTATTGAAACGTAATGATGTCAGTTTGAGAACCAAAGCCATGGTCTTTCTCCTCACTTGCTATGTATCTGAGAGCTGGACAATGACTAAAGATAACAGAAGAACTGATGCTGTTGAACTGTGATGTTGGAGAAGAGCACTGAACATCCCATTGACTGCCAAAAAAACAAACAAATGGTATCTTGGAGACAGTGCAGCCAGAGTGCTCTTTGGAAGCAAAGAATTGGGCTTTGTCTCATATGCTTTGGACATGTTGCTAAGAGGTGCTATTCCTTGGAGACAGACATGATGCTCAGAAAGGTAGAGGGTCGGCGGAAGTTAGCATAAGACTCTCAACCAGGTGGATTTACATGGTGACTGCTGCAATGGGCTCTAACCTGTCATGAAGTGTGAAGATGGCACAGGATAAAACAGGGTTTAGATCATAGTGTTGCTGTGGGTTATACTCTACTCAATGGCACCTAACAACAACAACATGCTTAGGGTTTGGCCTGTAACATTATTTATAGCAAGCTGAGATGGAGGAACCTCATAACACCAAGAAACAATGCCCAGAGTAGACTGCATTTTTGGTCTCAGGTCCCTGCTTGAGCAAGTTCCCAGATCAGAAAAGCCAAGACACGTGCATACATAAAAGAAAATGGCCAGAAATCTAGAAGGAAGCAAGCACTTTCACAATGATTGCAGAGAATGTGTTCTTTCCTCACCCTCATTTGGACTTCAAGGCTCTCATGTGTAAAAGAAGAAATTTTTTAATGCATCCTCTTATAGTACCTGTTGTGTTGTAACCTAACCCTAACCCTCCACCAACTTACTATTGTGGGCTTTGCGGAGAGACCTGTAAAGAAAAACAAAACTCCCCGATTAAACTGTATATGGAATGGAGTATTATTTTCCCCACTGATTACTAGTTATACCAGAAACCCCTGTACCTTTAGAAGGAAGGAACTTGTTATCAAGAGCTGCTTCAGAGGGCATTAAGGAGTGGTGACTCTGCCAGTGAACCTCGATATACATTCCCAGAGTTAAAGAATGTAGATACAGCTACTTGGGCGGATGGTCAGCCTTTAACAGCTAAAAGAGTTTCACCTGTAAAAATAGCATTAAATCACCAAGTAAGAAATTCATATGGCAAACAAACACATGGAAAAATGTTCAAAATCCCTTGCTATCAGAGAGATGCAAATTCAAACAACTATGAGATAATCATCTCACACCAGCAACAATAGCGAAGTCGAATAGAGAAGCAATCAAAAAATGCTGGTGAGGTTGTGGAGATATTTGAATCCTATTCACTGCTGGTAGGACTGCAAAATAGTTCAACCACCATGGAAGGCAGTTAGGCACTTTCTCAAAAAGTTGGAAATAGAAATACCATTTGACCCAGCAATTGCACTGCTGGGAATGTACACTGAAGAAGCCAGACCACCATCCAAACAGATGTATGTACACCCGTGTTTATTGCTGCTTTATTCACAATAGCAAAGAGATGGAAATATCTCAAGTGCCTATCCACAAATGAATGGATACAAAAACTATAGGGTGTGTGTGTGTGTGTATTCCTCACACAATGAAATACTATGCTATTGTTGTTATGTGCCATTGAGTCCCTTGCGACTCATAGCGACCCTATGTACAAGAGCCGTAAACGCCATTCTATCCTATGCCAACCTCACTGTCTCAAAACACATTCATTCCCACCACTCCACTCACAGGCTTCCTCTCCTGTGCTGTCCCTCCACTCTCCCCAACATGATGTCCCTCTCCAAGGACCAGTCCCTCCTTGCAACATACCCAAAGTATGTCAAATGAAGCTTCAGAATCCTTGACTCTAGGGGACATTTTGGCTTCACCCTCTCCAGGACAAACCTGTTTGATCTCCTAGCAGTCTATGTTATATTCAACACTCTTCTCCAGCACCACAACTTAAAGGCATCAATTCTCTTTCTATCATCCCTAGTCACTGTCCAACTCGCTGATGCATAGCATGTAATTGCAAAGATTATAGCCTGGATCAGGTGCACCTTAGTCTCCAGCCTGACATCGTTGTTCTTCAGTACTCTTGAGCAGTTCCTCACAGCTGACTTTCCCAATGCAATTCATCTCCTGATTTCCTGGCTGCTGTTACCAAGAGTGTTGACTTAAATGAAAACTGTTAACTATCTCAATCTCTTCACCATCCATACTGATGCTGCAAATTGGCCCAGTGGTTAGAATCTTTGTTTTCTTGATATTGAGCTTCAATCCATATTGAAGACTACAGTCCTTGACCTTCTGCAGCAAGCGTTTCAGGTCCTCCTCAGTTTCAGCAAGCAGGGTTGTGTCATCTGCATAACACAGGTTGTTGATGATTCTTCCACCAATCCTGATGCCACATTCCTCCTCATACAGCCCAGCGTCTCGGATGATCTGTTCTGCATACTGATTGAAAAGGTATGGAGACAAAATACATCCCTGACGGACCCCTTTCTTGATTTTGAACCATCCTGCTCTGTTCTGACAACTGCCTCTTGGTCCAAGTATAGGTTTCGCATTAGCACAAGAAAATGTTCTGGGATTCCCATTTTTCTCAGAGTCAGCCATAGCTTGTTGTGATCCACACAGTCAAAAGCCTTTGCATAGTTAATGAAGCACAGATAGACATTCTTCTGGTATTCTCTGATTTCTGCCAAGATCCATCTTACATTTGCTATAACATCCCTAGTACCACGACCTCTTCTAAATCCAGCCTGCAGCACTGAAAAATTATGAACTCGTAAAAGATTACACAATATGGGCCACCCTGGAGGACATTATGCTGAGTGAAATGCCAATATAAGAAGGACAAATACTGCATAACACCGCTGTTATGAAGCAGGACTGACATGAGGAATTGGGAGGAGAACAGTAAAAGAGTTGATAGATAATGAACACTGTATTGGAACAGATGAAGGAGAGAATTGTTTAAAATGAAAAAAGAATATATGATAAGTTATTATATGTAAGACAGGAGTCCAGAATAAGAAGCACATTACGAAGAGAACTGGGGAAGGAGAAAGGAAAAGGGAAGAGGAAACAAGGAGGAAATGTGCAACAATGAAAAATATTAAAATTTTAAAACTCAACACAATATTAAAAAGATGGGGCTGTACCAGGGCTGTGTAATATGGACCCAAAATTTCCTGATAAAGTAGTTCTTAAATTCCTCTCCTTCCTAAAAATGTACAGAGTTTGCCCCAGGCTTCCCAAGTGAACAAGCAATGAAATACCCTTGCAGAACGATACACTATGTATGGAAAGTGATGTGTCTGAAGATATGAACCTTCTGCCACTACCATGATGAAGAGCTGGGCATGAAGACAACCCTACCTCTTAGGCATTTTGCATTCACTTTGGATTCAGACTATACTGTCAAGTTGTGGAATTGTCAGGATATGGCATCCTATTATTAATAGAGGTGAACCTCTCTTTTTTCGGCTTCCTCCACTAAGAATTGTGTCTGAAGAAGTCTTGAGAGCTAAATCTCTATACACTGGAAATGGCTTATCTAGGCTCACTAATCTTAATGTGCATTCTAAGTACAAGTGTGTTAGGTTTAAATGTCATGGCAACGGGGCATCCAAGTAGTGGCCGGCGCTTTTGCTCCTGTTTTAAGCCATCAGAGTAGTTGTGAAAAGTGTTGACAGTTTATGACAGCCTTTATAAAGAGACTGTGGGAAAGTAGTGATTGGACTCCCCTAGATCCATATCCTGGATGTCATGGCCTAAGCAATGAGTGAGAAAAGTGGGCCTTTAGAAATTCAACAAAACCAGAAAGTGGGATTTGCTGAGGGCTCCGAGAAGCTATACACACTGCAGTAGCCATGACATTTAAACCTAACACACTTGTACTTAGAATGCACATTAAGATTAGTGAGCCTAGATAAGCCATTTCCAGTGTATAGAGTTTTAGCTCTCAAGACTTCTTCAGACACAATTCTTAGTGGAGGAAGCCGAAAAAAAAAGAGAGGTTCACCTCTATTAATAATAGGTATTGTTTTGCTGGTCACTGTCTTAGCCGGACTAACAGCAGGTGTAATTTACGACATGCATACTATAAAAAAATGTGTCGATCTTGGTGGAGAATATAGCTGAAGACACAGAAGAGGCATTGGAAGTCCTGCAAATGTCCCTCGATTCTCTGGCACATCAAGTAATGGATCACCACACAGCCCTAGACTTTCTGTTAGCCCAAAAGGGAGGTGTGTGCCCCCAGTAGACACATACTGTTGTTTTTATGTAAGCATCTCAGGATTAGTAGAGATTCTTGCACAGGCTTTATTATAAAGGGTAGAATTCCCAAGGTAAGTCTCTGACAAAAAAGTAATTGGAAATATATGGGAAGAAATTAAAAGTTTGCTACCATCTATGGCCTGGATTCTTTCTCTTGTAGGATCATTAATCATTGAAGTACTTTTACTAGTTTTTACCATATATTTTAAACTTGTGAATTTTGTTTTCTCTACACTGCAGGTTCAGAACAAGATAATGATCCCAAAACCTGTCCCACTTACCTACCAGGCAGCAGTCCCCTTTAGGGACAGAGAAAGAGGTTTAGCTCTAAAACAGTCAGTGGGCCTACTCTCAATATAGGCCAGAAAGACCTCGCTCCCATCGAGTTCCCTGAAGAATCAGAGCCAAATACCTCTCAGGAGGGTTTGCCAAGGGCTAGAATTCCTTCCTTTACTTTCTCTCCTTCCTTCCTCCCTCCCTCCCTCCTTTTCTCCTTCCTTCCTCCCTTTTTTTCTCTCTCCTTCCTTCTCTCCCTCCCTCCTTCCTTCCTTCCTTCCTTCCTTCCTTCCTTCCTTCCTTCCTTCCTTCTTTCTTTCTCTCTTTCCCACTCACAGAGGGCAGTTACACCTTGCTCAGCTCCACAATCAACACTCTTGGCACCAGCAGTCAGGAAACCAAAAGATGAATTGCACTGGGAAAATCCTCAGGTAGGGACCTCTCCAGAGTACTGAGAAGCAACCATGTCAGTATAAAGACTAAGGTACACCTGATCCAGGCGATGGTCTTCACAATTGCTTTCTATGCATCAGAGAGCTGGATAAATGACTAAGGATGACAGAAGAAGAATCTATGCCTTTGAGTTGTGGTGCTGGAGATAAGCATCAAACATACCATGGACAGCCAAGAAAACAACAGGTCTGTCTTGAAGAGGGTGAAACCAAGTTTCTCCTTGGAGGCTAGGATTGCGAGGCTCCATCTGACATACTTTGGGCACGAGTCCAGGAGGGACCAGTCTTTGGAAAAGGACTTCATGGTCGGAATGGTGGAGGGACAACGCAGGAGAGGAAGAGCCCGATGAGATGGAACGATACAGTAACTGGGGCAAATGCGGGTAGGTGTGACTGGCTCAAGACAAGGCAGGCTTCAGAGTTGTTGTACCTAGGGTCGCTGTGAGTCGCCAGCGAGTTGACTGCACACTCTCATAAGAGAAGACTAAAAGCAAAATTTCTCAGAGGAAATAGTAAGGGAAGTTAAAAATAAGACACATCATGGCGAAAAAGTCCCTTCTGGAATGCAGGGATCCAAACCCTAACCAATCCCGTCTCTCTCTTTGCGTCCACACCTAACTTTCCAGGGGTGTTTCCCTCTCCTTTCTGTCCTAATCCCTTTAACTCTTTCCCACGGCCTATCTACTTTACATCAACCATGTCTCCTTTGCATTACCTTCGTAAACTTAATAAGTTTTACTGAATTATCATTGTGTACGTCTGTTCACTTATGTGCAGTCCCCTTATCGAATGGTGGGCACTCTAGTTCACTTTCAGTTGCACGTGGGAGACTTCTATTCTTCTTCTCCGAACCCTAAGAGATTCTAGTGGATCCTTAGCAAAGCAGAAACCCAGGGCGAAGGTTGGCATGGCGCAGGTTGCGAGCTCCAGGGACCCGAGGGGCGGGGCGGCGTAGACCTGTTACGTCACCGCGCACATCAGGGTTTAAAGGGCAGGGAGCGCAGCTCCCCTGGTCACGTGCTCTTGCTTAGCTCTCCCAGCCAATGAGAGCTCACACACAGGCCGAGACCTCTGCTCAGAGGCGGAGGCCCCTAAGGTGTGTGCGGGGCTGTGACAGCGACGGGCGGAGGATGGCGGACAGCGCAGCCCTGAGCCGGGTGAGCACCGAACACAGTGCGCGGGGGGGATCCGGGTGTCCAGGTGCGCCCGCCCGCTGGGCACAGGCCGCTCCTCCCTGGCGATGACCTGGCGGGGATGGCGAGACCCATGACCAGAGAGCGGCCTTGTTGAGTGCCCTTCTCCTTCTGGCGCTGGGCGGGCGGGGATGATGGGACCCTGGACTCGAGTGACCTCCCTGTGAAGGGCCTGGTTCTGGCTCCTTTGCGTGATTCTAGGACAGATCCCAGTCTAGAGTCACCTCCTCTACTCAGGACCTGTGCATTTTTGGGTGGAGACAGAAGAACCCTTTGTGGAAGGACAGGAGGCAGCGCGGGGAGGGTCATGGGCACAGCAGGTGTGGAGCGCAGTGAATTGCTGGCTGCCCAGTTTTCACCTTTAGTGTTTGCACGGTTTTCCTGGTGAACCCCTGGAATTATATCTACAATCCGAATATGAAATTTAGCTCATCTCTGTTTTGTTGAACATACCATGGACCACCAAGAAAACAAATAAGTCTATCTGTCTTGGAGAGGGTGAAATCAAGTTTCTCCTTGGAGGCTAGGATTGTGAAGCTCCATCTCACATACTTTAGGCATGTAGCCTTGTGTCCATGGAAAAGGACATCATGCTTGGAAGGGTGGAGGGACAGCACAGGAAAGGAAGACTCCGATGAGATGTATTGATACAGTAACTAGGGCAATGGGGATAGGTGTGTCGGAATCATTGAGACTGGGGCAGGACAAGGTTGCTATGAGTCGCAGGCGACTTGAAGGAATATAACAGCAGCAACAACAAGGTTACTAAATATTTTGCTCAATTCTTTGGCTGCCGTTTCTCCCTAAAGCCAAGCTTCCCCCGCCTGCCAGAGAACAGAACAAACCAATCCTGGAGATAAGGACTGGAGTGACAACGCAGAAGTGATATGTCAGCATATAGGGAGTAGGGATAAAGGAAAGTTTAGGGGAGATCTTTAAAGGCGAGATTCAGAGGATGGGAAGGCTGTTCTGTTTATTCAGCACTAAAGAAGGAGAACGGAAGAGGCGAGATGGTGCAAATCAGTAGGCTCATGCAGTTGGCCTCCAAGGTGATGTCTTTGGGCTTAGTTGTTGAGTCTTCAGGACATGTGTTTGAGGTTTTCTTCTTTGAAGAATATGTCTCTGTGGTTAGTGAAAGGTCCAAACTCACTAAGACTGTGCAGAAGCAACACTAGCCTAGTGTATAGCAAATACACTTTATTTAAAATGCACACTTTGATGAAAATGGGCTGAGGCTCAATTAGAGTCAGCCTGGAACAAAGAGAAGTTGTTATGTGTCATCAAGCCTCCTGTGACTCATAGCAACCCTATGCATAATCACCCTGAACCACACCCTGTCCTGAGCCAATCTCACAGTCTCCAACACATCTACACCCATTACCCCAGTTATATATCAATCCATCTTCTCTTGAGTTCTTCCTGTCCTGCACTGTCCCTCCACCCTTCCAGGTATGATGACTTTCAAGGACTGGTCCCTCCTGGCCACAGGCCCTAAGTATGTGAGACAGAGCTTCAAGATCTTTGCCAACAAATAACAGCCTGATTTCATCCTCTCCAGGACAAACTTGTTCCTTTGTTTGGCGGTTCATGGTGTATTCAGTGCTCTTCTCTAGCACCACCACTCAAAGGCATTGATTCTTCTTCTGTCATCCTTAGTCATTGTCTAGCTCTCTGATGCATAGCAAGTATTTCCGAAGACCATGGCCTGGGTCAGACACACCTCAGTCTCTAGACTGACATTATTTCTCTTTAGCAATTTGGATAGCTCCGTAACAGCAGATTTCCCTAATGCATTTAATCTTTTGATTTCCTGACTACTGGTGCCAAGAGTGTTGATTGTAGATCTGAGTAAGTTGAACTTGTTAACAGCCCTGATCTCTTCTCGATCATTCATGGTACTGCCATGTGGCGAGTGGTGAGAATCTTGTTAAGCTTCAGTCCATGTTGAAGAGTACCATCCTTGACCTTATGCAAGGGTATTTATTCCTTCTATGTTGGCCCATTGGGGTTCAAGAGTCTGGGGCCATTTTCCATTATTTCAGCACTGCCTGTTTTAGCTCCTGCAGTGGGTCATAAAACTATGCTTAGGGGTAACCATTAATCAGTTTACTTACTATTTGCTGGAACACAGGGATGTGTTTGGGGAGAGTCAGAAGGTCAGCACAATGGAATCACTTCAGTTTCAAACTTACATTCCCAACTTAAAGAAAGGGGGGAAGGGGCAAAGAGCTTCTAAAAACTACTTCCTACTGAAGTGGGAAGTAGCTTCTTCACAATTAAAGGCCTTTTTGTCTCTTGAGACTAGCTTCTTTTTTCATTCTCTTGCCCTCAACTCTTTTTTCTATCTAACATAAGGTTCCCTGACTGGGAATCAACCTGACTGGGAAGAATACCTAATCATAGGCCAAAACCTCCTCTCCACTTCTCCACAAATGGCCAAGACTGCTTCTGTGATATTTCTCTCCTTTCAATTGTCCTACTGGTTCCAAAGGCTGAAGAGGTCATGGTCACCCCCTGAGGCACCCAGGGACTGATCAGTCCCTTTTTTGTTATCCCTCTCCCTCCTCTCAGGCCTCTTGACACCTGATGAGAGGACAGTTTCTCAGCTGTCAGAAGGATCTTTCTGCTTAGCAAGTTTCTGGCAGTTGGAGACGTCCAATTATGCCCTGGTTTTATTTTACCCCAATATGGAGGCAGGACTCATTCCAGGGACTGTTCTTTCTTCTGCCTCCTCTAAAACTTGCACACCGTAGGCATTACGTCTAAGTTAAAGCATTCTCAAATTTAGTACCCTAAGTTTAGTTTGTTCAATCCAGCTGCCCTTCAGAACATAGGTACTGAAATGGCAAATGGTCAGAGATTTCCTATACTCAAACTTTCTTTATTTTTCACTTTCACTTTTCTCTCTCTCATCTCTCTCTCTCTCCTTATCCAACTTAGCTTTTAAATTCATGACTAACCTACCAGTTAAAAAAAATCTTGAAAAAAAATTTCTGCAACTAAAACATCACCTTCCTTTTCCAACCCTAACCTGCAGATCAAACATCATCTCTCTCCTTTTCTGATCCCACCAGGTAGATAATCCCCATACCTCTTCCCCCAGCCTCTAGACCAAACCACACAGACAAACCAACCAAACTCCTCTGACCCTCTCCTCCCTCCTCCGAGTCCCCCCCATTCCAGCACATTATCCTCTATCAAACTTCAGCCAATCAATTCCTAAAAATAGAAAATCTGTCCAGCAACAAAAACCCTTTCTTCACTCTTTTGCCAACCCCATTTTTAATCTTTTCAAGGTAAATTCTGAAACACAGTAAAGTCATAAAAATCTTAAAAAAAAAACCCAGTAAAAAAATTATCACTTTTACATTTTTCTAACTCATTCTCTGTACTGATAAGCTAATACCTCCTCTCAGTAAAAAAAATAATTTAAAAATTTAATCCCTTTGCTTTGCTACCTAATTAGTTTTACCTGTTTCATTTTGCACTCTTTCAAACTTTCTGTAAATATTATACAAGGTTGTAAATAAATTTAATTTTGTTTATGGGAAAACAAACAGGTTCATCCTGGAAAGAGTTAAACCGGGTGGCTCCTTGAAGGAAAGGGTTCTGAGGCTCCATCTAACATACTTTGGACATGTTGTAAGGAGGAACCGGTCCTTGGAGAGGGACATCATGCTTGGTAGGGTGGAGGGCCAGAGCAGGAGGGGAAGGCCCTCAATGAGATGGATTGATTCAGTGACTGAGGTAATCGGGATGGGTGTATCGGAGACAATGCGATTGGCACAGGACAGAGCAGAGTTTAGGGTTGTTATACCTAGGGTTGCTATGAGTCCCAAGCTCATAACAACGGCACATAACAACAACAATAGTAGTTAAGGTAAAGTAAAATTTAATAGTTAGTGTTTCTTCTCTATCTAGCACAGATCTTCTGTATAATAATAAATATGTTTGTTATAGTTTTTGATGCTTATTCTGTTAATAGTTAATTTGTTTCAGGCAATTTTAGCTGCTATCTCTTACATTCCACCCCAATTTTCCACAAACCAGCAAATCCTCTCCCTCTTATATATGTAGATAATTTTTTGTTTTAATTAAAACAGGTCTAAAAATTTTATTTTGTATCCTTTTTCTTAAAGTATTTCCTACCCCCCTTAGATTTCCAGCCAGAATTCAGAATGGAAAAATTTTTGCAAACTTATCTTTTTTTCCTTTTTGTTTTAAGTTTAATATAGCAATAGTTTATAGCTCATGAACTATACACATTTTAAAACTATCAGTTAAAACAGAACTGGAGTTAAAACATAGCGGTTAGAAATTACATACAAACTTGCCTCATAAAAAAATATTAAAGTAGAATCAGTAAACTTCTCTAAATTAACACAAAGTAAAGAGAACCCTGCAACTTTTAAAGTTGACTAACTTAGACCCTAAATTTCCTAAAGATTTCCATTTCATCAATAAATCTGCCGCTGATATTACAGCAAACTTCATGAAAAGGTGTTAAGCCCCCGGTATGATTCAAACAAATTTTAACTGTTGCTATTTCAGTATTCAACAGTAGCAACTTAGAAGAGGAAGGACTAGCTAAAAGCCAAATTTCTTACAACTGCTATTGCAAAATATTTAAAAAATCACAGTCCAGCAGATGTGCCCCCAAACGCTAGTCCCAAGGCTTTAACATCCACGTAAGCCATAACTGTCAAAAGATGCTGCAAGAGAGTGAAAGGGCAGAAGCCTCTTCCACTTGCTTTTAGTGCAGTCCCCATAAACACTGGTTCAGCAATGCCTCAAGCATTGGTAGCAGAAAAGCAGTCAGGCTGACAGGGTCCTAGCTCCCTCAGGGGTTTTACAAGTGACCAACATAGCATCACTTTAAGCCTGAAGAAGCCTTAAGTATACATGGGCGTTGCTGGTAAAAATAGTGAATTTCTTCTCGACACTAGTAGGTGCCATTTTGTCTT